GGCTGGCCGAGGCCTGCGGGAGCCGCCGTGGGGGCGGCCGTTGCCACGCCCTGCCGGTAACGGCACCGCGAGCCCCTCTCCGTGAGCAGCGTGGGCTACGCCTGCTGGCCCTGCGACACGCGGGAGTTTTGGCCCGTGGCTTACGGCGTTAGGCAGACTGGCAGGCCCTGCCCGGGTCTTGAGTTACCTGAAGGCCGAGCTGGCCGACACCAGCTGACGCTCTCCGCGGAAATGAGGAAACCGATGACTGCTGGCGTTATCGCTTGAGTTAGTAGCGAGGCAAACGTCTACGTTACTCAGCGCAGAGATACCCAGAGTATCGTAAAAGTGGTTTATAGCACATCGCGTCTGCTGGTCTCCCTGAAGGGAGACGCAAAGGTCTGACGACTGACAGGGTCACAGGGGGCCGAGGTGCCCAGAAGAAACTGGGAGGTGTGCTGTTTCTCCTGCGTTTCTATCACTTGCCTGTTTTTTCCTGCAGCACAGTGAGGAGATACTAGCTCAGGTCTTGCAAGCGGTATAACTCTGTCAGAGTCACTCTACACCCGTGCTAATTAACTGAGCCTTTCAGCAGAGCTAATTAACTGAAGCAGAATACTTCAATGGCCCAGCAATCCTATGGTATGTTTTCTCCAATGGCAAAACCAGTTAAAGAAATTTCCAGTTGCTTGTTCCTGTCCTTGTGGCACAGTTGTGCTAATGCTACTGTAAATGAGATCAATGAAATCATCCAGGTCAAAGAGTGCACAAAAGTTCTCTCCGAAAAGGTCTGAAACTCAGCTGTTATTTCCCTGACCTGTTTTAGCCTGTATCCTCAAACATCTCCCTTAAACCAAATCTAAGGATGGGAGTGGGGAGACAGTGAACTACAGTGCCAGAAGCTCTGTGCAGGAGACATGGAACCAAAAATATTCAGACACACGCCAGAGAAAAGCGTAATATCAGACTATTCCTTGACCAAATTCCAGAATTACCCTTTCCAGAACTAATTCAGGGACCTCTGTATTGCATTGCAAAGGATAGATATGCCTGGCTTTCCAAATTGCAGTGTAGCTGTTTCAGTCTGCTCACTGTACTGCTCGTCTAATCAGCCAGTCCTCATTATGCTGCTTTGCTAGCTAGTTTGACTGAAGTAACTTGAAGGTAGAAACTCCAGATGCAATGAAGACGAGAGAATGAGAGCCAATTTGTACATGTCTGCACAACACTGCCTATCTAAATGTGGGTAGGAGGAGTGTAACTATCACATGTTTTCCCACCAGGGACAATGCACACTGCTGCTCAGCATGGCTGATTCACGGGGCTCGTTCAGATTTGGTGCAGGTTCCTCTGGACAGTTCTGTCTTATGCTCATAAACATACTCATTAATACCTACCCTGCAGACCGATCTATCCAAAAGCCTTGATTCAGGAAAGTATCTAATAATCTTAATCCCTCTCCATTTAGAAAAGATTTCATAGGCTTAATCTTACACACATTTAAATCCTAATGAAAACTTCAAAGTTGACAGGCTTTGTTCTAGTCCACTGGTTCTGAGACTCAGAGGGGGAATAAGTTAATCTCTATAACGTTCTGCTAGAGTATAAGAATATTTAACTCTAGAATGATAGAGGTTTTTTTTAAAAAAGCACTGGCATTGCCATTCCAGATCAGCCCATTGGTTCAATATGTTTCCAGCAGAACCTCTCCTTCTTCATGACTAACACTTTGTATGCCATAGAAGGAAGCTAAACTTCCTTTAAACTGATACCTGGCATTTTCCAAATAGTTGGAGTACTTGTGAGCAGTAGTCATCACCTCTTTCTTCAGCAGTAATGCAGTAAAATATGCATTTTCACAGATACATGAAGTTGAACACGTAGCCAAGGGCGAAGGTGCTCATAGTTAAGGTTACTGCCTCCTGCACTCCAAACGGTTCCATATAAGTCTATAGTGGCATTCATTTAGTGACATGAAAGCCAATACGTTCCAATTAATCACAGTCAAACTCTTACGACTTTTGGAGATAAAATGTAAGTGTAATAGGCATCTGATCTAGAAATGCAATTCCTGTATCTCCAGTAGGAGTAAAGCTGTACAGCTAGACAACTCTTTCGTTACAGCACCAGAAGTTTCTCTTTGTTAAAAATGTGCTTAGATGAGTGTAAATTCATTAGCTGTAATTTGTTTTCCTATCACACAATCAAAAATGTGGAAAAAATACTAATCCTATGCAAAAAACAGCCTGAAGTTAAAAAAAAAAACAGGCTAAAAGTTGTCTCTGTTAATTTCACCTTTTGTGGCAGAGGCATTATTCAGTTTAATTACAATGAACATAGTATTTGTGCAGGATTATCCCCATTCACCGCATGTGTCAACAGCTATCATCGCTACTCATGTTAACACCTACAAACAGGATGGCTACTCTCAGTCTGTTGAGTATCCAGCTGAAGACATCTAGAACCCTGTTCCTATTGGTTTATTCAAATCTCTGAGTATTTCTTCACCTAAAAAATCAGAACCTCAAACGCAGTTCAGTTTACTCAGAAAAAAAAAAAAATGCCCTTTTACTGACCAGAGGAAAGAAGTTCTACTTGAGTGACTTGCTCAGTATCAGCCAGAAGTGCTGTAGCCATAGCAAAGATCTCTGAGAGCAGTTTGTGCAGCTACTTAGTGAACAGAGTCAAGGAACTGATCCTGGTTAAAACTAAGTAAGGGGAAAATATTGTAGGTAGTATTACTTTTAAGTTAGATAAGCTCTCCAGTTATGTTCACCACATGGCCACACCAATGCTTGCGCTGGTAGGAGGAAAGGAGCGTAGCACTATAAGAAGTTGAGAGAGAAGAGAAGGCTGCTTTATTTCAGCAGCGTAGCTGGCTTATGCCACTCCTTAGAGAGTTTGTGAAACCACAGCCTGATTCCACAGCTTAGATTGGCTTTCTATTCTTGGCTTTAGTAGCCAGAGAAGCAACAGCAGGAAGAAGTCCTGCTCACTGCTAGGCTCAGTGACTTAGCTGGAGGTAAAGCACACAATCTACTTTAAGAGATGTATAAAATAATTCTGTTCCATTAAGCATCAAGTTTTGGACAACCAAGAGGACACCGATGAGAATAAGAGATTTAGAAAGCATGCTAATGAGGAGAATTTAAAGATCTGGACAGACACAAGATAACTGGGCACAAGATAACTGTCTTCAGTTCTATGCAAGGTATGTACGGAACAATGATACGTTGTTCTCCGTGTCCGCTGTCACAGGGATGAAGTGCAAACACCTTCATTGATGGCAAAGAGGATTACAGTTAAATGTTAGAACAGATCTTTATAGATGTAAACCAAGCTACCAGGCAAATGGTGTAACCTCCTTCACTGCATGTTTTAAGTGCAGTTTAAGTAAATATCCTGTATCTTGGGGATTAGAGGGGAGCACAAAAAAGGAATTTCTGAGGCTGTTACCAACCAATCCGTGCCTGTAGTTTGTATGATCTGTGGAGGCATAATGCTTTAGGCTCATGTTGCCAAGCTCAGCAAGCCTCTACTGAGTGTGTGTATATATATACATATACATACACTTATATATATACACACACATGTATACATACATACACAGATTTTCAGAAGCTAATCAGCCAAGTTTAAGAGGATTTCCTCCACGTCAACAAAAGATTCCGTGTTGTCAGAATCATGGACGTGCTAAAGCTTCTCAGTAAATACTTAGGAAGAGGGATTTTGTTTGTTTTATGTATCAATTCTTCTTCCTAACTCTTTTTCTGGAACACGCTGAATTACTCTTCCTTAAACTCAATTCAGCCTGAGACAGAAGCTCACGATGGGAAACTTCATCCCAGATAATTAAACTCTGGCAGAGTTCTAACTGAAATTGGAGCTTTAAAAGCAAAATATTAGGCAATCTGAATACTATGCCTTATGGTCACCTTTGCCTTATAGATATATTTGCATATGCATGCACGGATTAAGCTTCATTCCAGTTCCAGGGACGTTAACGTTCTAACAACAGTCTTCGTCTTGAGTTTATAGAAATACATTTTGAAGTCTCAATCTTTTTTTAAAACAGAAACCAACAGTGAACTTTCCAAGAAAAACCTAAATGACTTAAGGTATGTCCACACTGTCATGAAATACTAGTTTAACTGAATACAGACTAGTAGTATACACACTAGCTGTGAACATTGCTTAGCAATTAATCAATAACTTGTCTGGCCAAAGTAACTTGCATGCTTGCACTGTTTTCATGGATGTTATGCTCCTCATTCACTTCAGCTGAGATTGTCAAAAGTGCCTACGTTTACTTCCAGGCATGCATCGAGGAAGTCATATTATGCACTGATTCATGAAATATGCATCAAGTATTGGTTAAACAGAATGGAAGAGAACATGAAAAAACTACATGGAGGTATGCCTACAATGTTTCATTTAGTCCTGAACAGTGCAAACGTACTGGACTGTAAAAGGATATGTCTAAGGGAAACAACAAAAGCACATCAACTCAGCCATTTAAACTTAGGCAGAATATTACATATTAAAATGTATTGCTGGGAAATTTTGCTGTGCACACACACATGGTACAAAATTAAGTGATCTTTTCTGTCTCTGCTTTGATTATCTGATCACTAATATGGTGCATAAGTATTTACATGAATATTAGGCTCTCTGTCACTGAGAAGCATACGTCTTAAATTATTTCTTTTCCTTGTTCTTCCTACTCCTCCTTATAACCATATTATTATTTCCTGTCATCAGTAGTGTCACGTAATTATTCTAAATAATCAAGAGCAAGCAACAGTGTTACAGCTTACATGTTTTTCTTCTATTCACCTATGACAATAGTTCCCTACTTTAGTGTATGCATTTTTCAATCTAAAAAGATACAGTTCATAGGAAAGAAGTGCCAAATAATTTTTGCTTTGTCTAAAATTTGCACATGTTTTACATTTAGCAATTAACCATGAAAAGCGTATTTAAATATTTAAATGAAGCCGGCATATATATCAAATATAGCTGCACAGCAGAAACAGTGTGGCACTATGCTTACTTTCTTTAAACATATTTTGTTTCTTTCAAAATTACCACTCCCCAAAGTGCAACAGAAGCACATTTTAAGTTCTGTATCATTTGAATTTGAGATGGAACATTGAAGAAAGCTACTTTAATTGAAGTTTGAAAGATATGGAATTGGGCCTTTAGGGAGCGTGGGGCACTTTTCTTGTCATTCTGGTTGATTGATTTGCATGATGTAGGTGGGGAATGCTGTTGATCTGGCTATCCATTTTAATTTTCTATGAGTCATGTCAGCTTTAAAGTGAAGTACAGGCTTGGCTTTAAAGAGAAGGACAAGCATGCAGAGCTTTAAAGTAGACACCACGCTGCCAACCACAGTAAGTAAAATACTTAGCAACGTTTACACTCTTTTGAAAAGTATGCTATGTAACAGAATTCAGACTATCATACGCTGTAGTACGTTATCATTAATCTACTGTAGTGAAGGACTGCCTTCTCTTTTTGGGATTTCTGATTCACATGTGTATAAACAAACTGGAAGAAAAGTCTTTAAACTTAACACTATGTCACTTTCTTGGTTCCTTGAGAAATAAACTTAGCAGACAACCAATAAACCTTAATGAGGAGACTTGATGGGTTCCCTAAAGGGGGAAAAAAAAAAAAAAAGCATACTTTACAGCTATGATTTACATTTCACTGTGTGCCAAACCTAACCTGACTGCCATCAGATCAGTGTGTCCTGCCTTTGCTTGATTTATCAAATCATTCCATTCAGGAGGAGTTGAATCAGGCTCCTAATTTGTTGCTGCATGCACATCTATTGTAATCAGACTTTCTTTGAAGGAACAAAAGCAAAACAACTCCACACTTACTAATTTTCTGTGAACCATTACTGCCCTGAGTGCTTAGCCGGGTAACTGTTCTTGCTATATTGCTGGTAATGCTGTTGCAACCGTTGTGAAAACTAAAAGCACCTTCCAACAGATGGCATATAGACCAATTAACGACATTAGTGTTTCTGTGTTATTTGGCATCCTACATAAATGGAACAAATAGCCTCCTCTTTTGCCTGTGTTATCAGAGCTACCCTGAAAGCATAAAAAATACAGCCATGTTCTTTAATGCAATCAAAAATGAGGGGGGGGGGGAAATCAGCTCCTTTTTCCCACCCACTCTCCGCCCCCTTACAAGGAAACCGTATCTTTCAGGAGATTAGTAACAGAGCAGATTTGTTCTGAAGGTCACAATTAATGCAAAAAATAAAAAAAAAAAACACACACTTTAGGTATACCTCTCTTAAGAGAGTGTTAATGAAATGTGCAAATGCCTCAGCATTATCATATGCAGTCCAGTAGCACGCAGGGTTATAATATACCTAGGGGGAGAAGACAAAGAATTAGGTCTGGAGTCTGGGGATCAGAAAGCAGCAGCTTGACTAGTCTAATTGATTTCCAGACTGATGTTTTAAAAATCTGTACAGTGAAAATACTAATGAGGCCCTGTTTTTGAGGGGAAGAGAAAATGTTCTAAATTTAACCATAAACTTTCAATAACTACAAAGTAAAGCAGCTGGAGAGGTTTTCTTGTGCGTTTGTGATGTGCCTGTCCAACCCTATATGTTGTGATGTGCACAAAGAGTAGTAGGTGTCAAAGGACCTAAAGACTGAAGTGTTGTAGCATCAAACTTCCAGATGCTCAGCTCCAGAGTAAAATCCAGACTCCTGCATGCAGCTCCTGGGCTGCTTTTAGAAAGTAGGGAGGGAAAGTTTTCCATCTCACGTTCTGTTGGAGAACTGCCAACACCCTGCATAGGGAGTGCTTGGTTAACGTATTCAGCAGAGACATGCTAGAGTTCGTGGTGGGAAATGCTAAGTGCACAGATGCCTGTTAAGTCTCACGTCTCAGCCTCAGGTGCTCCAGAGAGGCACCTCTGTTCACTTGGGATATATTTCCTGGAAGTGTGCTCTTGGAACACAAATAGGATTTATGTATCTCGTTTCTGGATTCTGATTAGGTTTCAGGTATTACCTAAGCAGTGCTTTCACAGCCCTGCTAGTGCAAATATGGGTGTCTGCAGGAGTGTAAGTCTAGCTAGTTAGAGAGCTGTGAGTTATCAAAATCAGGTGCCTCTAAAGTCTCTGATTTGCTGCCATGTAAACACTAAGGGTAATAATTTGGCAGTTTTAAATTTAGTTCGAGTCGCACTCTAAGCATGCTAAAAACCCATGCAGTATCTGCCCTCACCTGCCAGTCACGCTTATCCTGACTCTCGTGAGAAAGGGTCTGAAACTCTGAAAGGGCTATCATCATTCCTTAGATTGCACACAGGTGGAGAGAAGCATCAAAGGAGAACAGTAAGCTTGTAGAGTCATGCACCTCAAAACTAGGAAGTGTCATTAAGATCATCCATAGAACTGTAACTCTACTCTCCTAGCATAGTTCTCAATTATAAGGTCACATTTAGTATTTCCTATATCTTTTCCTCAGAGGATGAAAACCATAGTATTCATGCAAGGGAAAACATGTCCTGAGCAAGCAAAGGACGGTGCTGTAGCAGCCTGGCCTTAGATCAGCTTATGTTGCCCAGTCTCCATATAGAGGAAATACTTGTAGAGAGCAGAAGTCTGCTGGGTAATGAGAGGCAGTAGAAGGGCAATGAGAGGAAGGGGAAAGAAAAGGGAAAGCAGCCTTTGATGTTTCTTATGTTAAATGGTTTGGAAAGGGGATGTTCTTGATGTGGCGATCTCTTTTGTTCATGCATGGTAGAGGCTTGTCTGTAGTCTGCTATTAAAATTTCCCTCTCCCCCCCCCCCTTTTTTTTTTCTTCCTTATATGCAGTGAGCCAAGGGATGGAAGCATCCTGCTGCCGTTTTGGACTCGTGTCCATTATCTAGATCTTTGGATCTCTTTTGACTCAGCCACTTTCCAGAGTAAAGGGGAACAAGATCTATTATTCAGGTCCTAGCACTGTCCCTAATTATTCCATGCAGTGTGAGGCACGTTGCCAACAGAGTGGTCCAATGCCTAGGAAACTTTTTTGAATTGCTTTCCTGAGGGACAGAAGCCAAACCATTATGTACTACTTTCCTAGGAAAAGATCAAAGCCAGAGTGAGTAGATTAAACTTGTGATAAGAGTGGCATCTGATGGCTCTGAAACCCCTCAGGATGCTGGGGACGGACATACTGATTTTCCAGGTATCACATATAGATGTTTCCCCATTGTTAATAGAAAGTCTTTGAAGATTTTGAAATTCCACTAGGAATCAAATTCCACTAGGAACTGCAATTCTCAGTACTCAAATGCCTACGTTTCCTGTGTGGAGCGAGCTTGCCGATTTGAACAGTTTGGGTACTTTTGGCCAACTACCTCACATTTTGTTTCTATAAATAAACATGTATATAGAGCCATTATGTGTTCTTCCTTTCCTGCCTTCCACTCCATATGGGACTTTCATAATTCTGGAATTACAAATATGACATAATTACCAGCACTTCCTTTGGTAACATTATTATCTATGTAAAGCCTGATAGCTGTCAAAAACTTTTCAAAGCAGAGCTGATCTCATTGCTGATGCTTGTACATAGAGATGTTTTGGCATGATCAGATTCTGTATGAACTGATCTGTTTGTTATTGAAACATATCTTAAGTTTTCGTATCTATGCAAAAGGAGAAAAAAAATGGAAAAAGAAGATAACTTTTTTCCTGGATGGAAATGGCAAAGCAAAAGGATTTAAAAAAAAAATCTTCAAATTATTGAAAGACTATTTTAAGTATGGAAAGAAACAAATTAATACAAGTTGGCTATTGGGCCTTTATGGAAGTAAAAATTCAGTTGTTTCACTACAACAGAACTATACAATTCCTGACTGTTCTCATCCACACCTTTCTTTATGAGTCAATAGCTCCAAACAGCTAATGCTAAACACTGCTGTAACCTGGTATGGCTTTATCTGGAAATTTTAGATTAGGCTCTGTCCAAAAACTGTCAAAGAACAGACCACAAAAAAGGAGGGGAGGGGAGAATTACTTGCAATGGCTTAGAGACTGCTATTTTATTAAGAGAATTAGTGAAACAAAACACTTATTATAAACAGGAACTATAATGGGAACATGAATGAAATATATAAAGTTATATGACCCATTAACGGCTCTAACAAGCCGTAAGATGAATGAGTCACCCAGTTTTAAATATAGTTCTTTGCTGCAATAGTTTTATCATCAGACAAGGCTCCACTTGAATTAAAGGGCAACAAGAGCTATGTGATGGGATCCTACAGTCATGCCTCAGTGATTTGTCCAGTGGCAAGTAAGGCAGAGGCTATGCAAGTAGTTTCTCTTCTAGCTGCCGTAACAGAGAGATGTTTGCAAAGGGATGACTCACTGATCAGAGAGCTTTCAGTTTAACTGCAATACGGTGGTTTAGATAGAGGCATTCATTATTTTCTATAGCCCATGACCTTTCCAGCTTCATAAATAGTAGCATTTATTTTTCTACACAATATTTATTTAACATCATTATTGATTTCACTGCATTTCATCAGTTGTTCCAGTCGGGAAGTTAAGCTCACTTGCTAATATGGGATCAACAGTCTTCTAAGGGCAAATAACACGGCAAAGATGTGTTACAATTTTAACAATTAGGAACAGAAGTGGCCTTTGATACAATGATTTTAAAGTCATTTTTACTACACAACACAATGTTTTTAAAGAATTTCGATATGTCTTATAGACACATGTCTGGCAAAGCAAAGTCATGAGAAGGATAAAACAAACAAAATGACCTCTACTATCCTGGCCACCAAAACAGCACAGGCAAAGTGAAGAATTTTACAAGGTCCTTTGGGAACATAAATCCAGAGAAGATATTGCAAATATTCTTACTCCCATTGGCAGTGCCCTTTCTGAAGGTCATTTCTGATTTCAGCCACAAATTGCCTGAAGCAAGGAATTCAGATAGCCTGCTAAAACATCTGTGTTTGCTGGGGCAATGTATTGTCTCAAGCAGCTTTTGAGAGCATACATATAAAAATGGGTGCCACTTTGAGAGATTTTCTTTGCACAAGACGTGAAACGAAACTTTGAGGTACTCATGAGAAACGGAAACCTATTTCACCTTCTTCCCAATCCCCCTCTCCTACCACCCCATATGCAATGCTTCTAAAGAAATAAGAGGAACAAACTTCATAGCCACTGAGCTGCAAAAGTCCGCAGGGACAAATTTAAACAATGATTTATTTCTCAAAATAAATAAAACTGAGAACAACCTTCTTTTCCTGGAAAATTTTGGCAGAATTTACTGATAGTTATTAAATACCAGATGCTTTTTGTGGTTTCCTATTAGGAACCCAGCCCACTGAGCCTTTCTTATGTCTATAGTTCAAGTAAATTGGCTTAGGCTACTGAGTAAACAGGGGAGGAAGGTTCAGGCCGTGGCTCTCAGTATGACTGACTGCTGCACACCTCTGCCTGAGCTCCCACCCAGGCAATAGGCTCAGACTTTAAGCTGCCGTTCAATCCCTAATTTAACACCAGCTGTTTGTAAGCTCTCTGGAAGCTTATTAAATACAACACCATTTGCATTGCTTATAATGGCACCAAAGGAACAATTAAGAGAGAATATTTGAATTGTGCTTGAATTGAACTTGTTACTATTCAGATCATATTTTAAACATATATGTAAAAATAAGATGTCCACAGATGAAAGTAGTCAATAAATATTACAGTATTATGAGCAAGAGTGTGCGGGTCTGGCTAATTTATTCCTGTCAATATTAAGGCAATTGTTACAACCACAGAGCTTGTTTGAGTTAGCCTGTTCAATAAATTCATCCCTGGCAACACTGTTGACTTCCAGCATTAGGTTTACAGGCTGTACATACATAACAATCTTTTCTCCCATCTCTTATGCAATTTTGGATATGCAGCTCAAAGTAACGGAGGAGATATAATAGGCATGAAGCAAATGATGAAGAGCTCGCCAGCTCCCTGTGCTTATCTATATGACTGGTTCTAACAAGGACTAGGCATTTCCTGCAAGTCACATGTTTCTGGGAGTCTTTGGAGACTTGTGGCAGACAGTTCTATGCATCCTTTCGTTTCCAAGTTGTGCGTGCCTTTTATGGATTTTATTGGTCTGTCCAGAGATTCCTTATAGTTAAATTTCTTGCTGTCTGGTCCACACATTAGGGTAATTGCCACAATGGAAGACGTACTTGTTACACATTAGACATTGTTATTATTAGCCATATACTCATCAAAAACATGAAAGCCTAGTATTTTTAAAAACGGACATTTTCAAATGATGTGCTTTCAGACTGTTCATAGTTTGCTATAGACTTTACTAAAATTTATATTGGGTGTTAGAATAGGAGTATTCAGCATGTGGACTGTTTTGTGGCCAATTAACTATAGAATGCTACAGTCATTATCGTTACAAGATCAAAAATGGTAGAAGACCTGGGTTGATACCCTCAATAGCAAACACAGACACTACAGAACTATCACATAATATCACATCCAAAACCACTTAAATGTTCATAACTATTTATTTACTTTTTATACTTAAGGCCTAGGAAAAAGATCTGAGGCAAAATACTTTAATTTTTTGATAGGCTTATTATAAGGAGCTTGGTAATGATTTTTAAAGAGTTATTTGTAAGAATTGGCATTCATAATTTCTTTAAACATTGGCGCAAAGCATCTAATGCTATTTTCATATAAAACTAGATCCTTTAGAAATAATTTTTGTGTATTTTGTGTGCCAAATAGAACTCGCTTCAATGCCGTACTTCACAGCTGAAAATAATACTCTGCCAAGGATGTAAAGCACAGTATGACACAAAGATTGATTTTCATTAAATCTTGCAGCCGGGCAGACTTTGTATACGAGGGATCAATAACCATCTTAGTCACTTTTAAATTTTGTTCTTGTTTGTTTCTATTCTAATAGAGGAAGGGAATAAGAAGCCCCCTGGTGACAGAACTAATATCTTTGCATTGGAATGCATATTAAAAATGCACATTATGTACTTAGGAACTCTAAACTGCACATGCTCATGTACTTCATTCTGTGCCCATAAACAGTCCTGTTGAAGCTAAAGAGGGCTATTCATATGCATAAAGTTAAACCATATTCCTAAGTACTGGTAAACTGAAGGCCTAGTTTAACAAATGCATTAATGAGCCATCATCTTTTTTTTTTTTTCCTTTATGCTTATATTTCCACTGAAAAGTACATTCAGCAGGCAACACTGCACTGTAACTCACATACATCACTGGACAAGAAATGAAATGCAGGAAGTAAAAATCGTTGTCAACCCAATTATGTAAGGAGCTTACTGTAGGACATTTTCCTTCAACATTTTAAAGCCATTCCTTCAGATTGGATTTCAGGAGAAGGTAGAAGAGTATAAGCTTAGCAAATGGTATCTGAGCTCTGAGCACTGGAAAACGTGGGCTATCAGTCACTTCTGATGACAATTTAAAAAGGATTAATATGATGAAACAACTTGAGCGTCAGCTCAAACAACTTAGTCAAGCTGAATGAGAATAAAGCCTTCTATGATGCTGACTGTCTGGGAAACAAGGGCTTAGTATTTTGTGACAGTACAAACTCCTTTTAAAAAGAGCCGGCAGAATGAGTTGCTGATTTCTGGGTAATGCCAAAAAATGTTCTTTACACAGAAGGCTGAGGAGTTGAGATTTAATAGCCTGCTTCAAAATGCAGGTGGAAGGCTGTATGTGCCCATTATATTTCCGGCTTACTTTATCGTTTACACAAGTACATCACTACATAAGAAAAACAGCTTGAAAGGAAAAAGGTGATTTGACCTGTAGGTGAATGCGATTCCAGCCTTAGTTCCAGGATTTTTCTGCTGAAAGGAATTGACCTTGTAGTTTATGTAGGATGGGGTAGCCAACCAAATAAAACTTTCCCTCGTGAAACTGCATTATATTTGTTTGAAGTATATGGAAGCGGGGAAAACAATTCTAATATGATCACACATTTAACTGAGAATAAGAAAATAGATGATATTTAAAGAATGCTGTTTCAGTGGCTGGGAGCGAGGTTCAGAAACAAATCCCTTAAACTGCTATAATTAGCTATCTCGGAGGAGAGATATATTTTGTCTGACTCTGCCCCAGTTTGAAGACCTCTCAGTAATGGCAAGAAATTAAAGTAAAACTATATGAAAGTCATTTGTCCTATTTCTAGTGTCTATTAAAGTGTTCCATATTGAAAGTCTAATCTAAGGAACGGTGCTTTAAAGGACTAGTCACTCACTCTCAAGCCTCAGGCAATCTTCTCATCAGCCCTTGCCTGTCTCCTTAGAGAGATTGTTGTGGTGGTTTTGTTTTACTTTTCCAATGTAAATGT